CCTTAACTGCCGAGCCTTCTCTCCGTACCCTGGAGATAACGTTAACTTTGTTGTTGTTGAATTCTTTGTCTGAAGTGTGGACACACCATGCCAGAGCACATCGTGAAGATCATAGAATACCTTCCAGCAGTCTGTTCTCTCCTTTTTTTGCTTACCTTCCAGGGATCCAGCTCAATTAGTCAGACTTTCTCAGCAAACCCTTTTGCCCACTAGGCCCTCTGCCTTGCCTTCACCCTGGGAGATGACCTTTGTCTTTGTGAAATTAGTTACTGCTCTTATCTACTGATCTGTAAGTTCCTTAAGGGCAAAGGCGATATTTTGGTCATCTTTAAATTCCTTTATAAGCAAATCTAGACTTCATGACCACTCTTGGCCATCAGAATACATTAAATTAATTAATTAATTTAGTGCCCATTCTGTAACTCTTTAGTTTTTCTTTTTATTTTTTATGGTTTTCTTATACATATTTCAGGCGTGGCTGTAAAATATAAATGGTGTAGACATTTTCGATTTATAGCTATTATTTTTAATTTACTTTCCAGAAGTTTGTTCTAAATATAACTAATTCTTCCCCTGCTACCTTTTTTAAATGACAATGTCCCCAGGTATCCGTTACAGCACTGACGTGAGTGTGGATGAAGTGAAAGCGCTGGCTTCTTTAATGACGTACAAGTGTGCAGTGGTCGGTAAGTGACTCTGAAGAAATGTCTTCATAGGCCAGGTTACTTCTTATTACTGTGTCTGTTATGATATATATGTATGGAGGTCAGAGCAACATTGTAGAGTTCTCTCCTATTCCCTTTACTTGGGTTCCTGGAATCAAATTCAAGTTGTCAGGTTTATAAGAACTGTTACCTGATGATCCAACTTATTGGCCCCAAGATTATTTTAGTATGCTATAAAATAATTAACAGCTGGGTATGGTAGCACACACCTTTAATCCCAACACTCTCGAGGCAGAGGCAGGCAGATCTTAGCATTCAGGGCCAGCCTGGTCTACAGAGCTAGTTCTAGGACAAACAAGGCTTTTGCACAGAGAAATGCTGTCCTAAAAATCCAAATATATATAATTTTTGACAGAGCTGTTTTGTTTTATTTTTAAAGGGCCTTGTTTGTTTATTAAGATAGGGTCTCAAACTATATAGCCCTGACTGGCCTCGAATGCTCCATGTACACCTCTTCTGCATTGTGACTTCGAATTCACAGAGATCTTTTTCTCTCTGCCTCCCAAATGCTGGGATTAAAGGTGTGTGCCAGCAGACCTGGCTTAGTCCTTTTATTTCTTTCTTTCCTTTAATTCTTGAATATGATTTAATACTCTTCTCCATTTCTAAATTACACCAAGACCTTACTGCTTAGGAGCTCTGCAGAGGCTGTAGGAAATGTGGACAGTTTCCTCCCCTTATTTCTGTCTTTGCATGTATAGTGTATATCATCATAGATTGATACATCAGTATGTAACACGTTATATGTAGGAGAAACATTGATTAAGGAAATACAAAAGTTTGTCATCATTTCCAAACTTAAGCAGTGAAATTTTTATAAAAGCTAACTGGATTTTCTTTAAACATAAATCTTTGTTTTAAATGCTTATCCATACTCTATAAATAAGACCAAATCAAAGTAGAAGGAAAATTAATGAGTATACCCTTCGAATCTAATTAACATCTTTTTAATGTCTTTGTTTTCTATGATGCTAATAATTGAACCCAGGGTGTTTGGCTGTTAGGCAGGCACTCTATCAGCTAAGCTATAGCTTCAGTGCTGGATTTATTTCTGGAATTTCCTAGAATTAAGAGAGTCATACATTTTTGTAATAAAGGTTGAATATTCCTAACTTGAAATGCTTCAGAATCTGAAATTATATGAACACCAAGGTGATGCTCCCAATAGAAAGCGCCATATCTGATCTTAGCAGTGGGTATTTTCAAAATGTAGGAGATAGTGAAATGCCTACACCATTACCTGTAGTCTCTGTGTATATGAAACATGGAATTCCCATCTAGAGTTGGATCCCATCCTCAAGATGTCTAATTGTATATATGTAAATTAAAAATCTGAAATGTAAGAAACAGTTGAAGATTGCTCCCCAGTATTGGACAATGCTCTTTGTTTTTATACTTTTTAAGTTGTATATGGAACAACATCTTTTAGTCTTCTGTTTCAGATGTGCCATTTGGAGGTGCTAAAGCAGGTGTTAAGATCAATCCCAAGAGCTATACAGTAAGTATCCAAGTCGTGTTTATATACACGAGGCCTAAAATTGTGTTCCTCATGCCAATGAGAGTAATGGTTTCCGTTGCTTTCCTGAATAAGTAGGAAAACAAATACCTATTGAATTAATCATGAATTAACTAAGTAGTGTATTTTGCCATATATATGTGTTTGTCTGCTTGTTTGCCCCAAGGAACTTTTTCTTACTTGATACTTAATATTTTCATATTCATAGACATATACATCCATGCTTTAAAATTTTGATCTGCAGTTTTAAGCTGTGTGTGATGGAGCATACCTTTAATTCCCAGGACTGGGAAGCAGAGACAGATCTTTGGGTTCAAGGATAGCCTGATCTGCATAGTGAGTTCCAGGATAGCCTGAGCCATATAGAGAAACTCTATCTTAAAACCAAAAATAAATAAATAAAATTTTGAGTTGAAGTTCTAATATGGAGATTTTTTCTAGTAATAAATAACTAATCTAATAAACATCTTATTTATTCTGTTAGTTACACATTAATTAAAACTGGTTGCTTCAATGATCAACATAAACTAAATTCGTGATTTGTGTACAAACATAATAATTGTGATTTTTATTCCCTCTGAAATTCACCTGTTGATGACTTCCTTGAGCTTCCTGTCACCCACACTTGCTATATCTTATTTCTTTCTTTTTTTTTAAAGAAAATAAACTATCTTTTTTTCATTTTACATACCAGTTCCCACTCTCTTCCCTCCTTCCGTCCCCTCCACTTTTCCCACCACCACCACCATCTAATCCTCAGAGAGGGTTAAAGCACATTGCTTTGAGGGAGGTCCAAGATAAAACAAAAAACACAGTCAATAAGACAAAACGACAGCCTCCTGAATGGGAAAACTCTTCACCAATCCCACATCAGACAGAGGACAGATCTCCAAAATATATAAAGAACTCAAAAAATTAGACATCAAAATTCCAAATAATCCAACTAAAAATGGGGTACAGAGCTAAACAGAGAATTCTCAACAGAAGAATCTCAAATGGTCAAAAGACATTTAAGGAAATGTTCAACATCCTTAGCCATCAGGGAAATGCAAATCAAAATGACTCTTAAGATACCATCTTATACCAGTCAGAATGGCTAAGATCAAAAACACCAATGATAACTTATGCCAGAGAGGATGTAGAGTAAGGGGAACACTCCTCCATTGCTGGTGGGAATGCAAACTTGGACAACCACTCTGGAAATCAGTATGATGGCTTCTCAGAAATTTGGCAATCAACCTACCTCAGGACTCAGCAATACTACTCTTGGGCATATACCCAAAGGATGCCCAATCGTACTACAAGGACATTTGTTCAGCTATATTCATAGCAGCATTATTCGTAATAGCCAGAACCTGGAAACTACCTAGACCCCTCAACCATAGAATAGATGAAGAAAATGCAGTACATTTACACAAGTGTGTGTCTTATTTTTATAACTCTTTTTAAGAATCCCACACTCACCAGATGGTGATGGCAGTGCACACCCTTAATCCCAGCACTTGGTAGACAAGAACTAGGTGGATCTCTGAGTTCAAGGCCCACTTGGTCTACAGAGCAAGGGCAGCCAGGGGTACACAGACACACCCATGCTCTCAAATGTGTGTTGCCCTTTTTTCTTTTTTGAGTACCTTTCTGTTAGCCCTTATACCTGTATTAAAACATCTTTATTAAACCCCCATCTCGTTTCACTTTTGTACATGAGTTTTGTTTTGTTTTTTGAGACAAGGACTCAGTCTATAGCCCCAGCTGACCTCATCCTCTGCAGTCCTCCTGAGACCCAAGATTACAGGCATTTAACGTGTAAATGAAAATACAGGCATGACCCACATAGGTCTATATAGATATAATTATTTTGTATGTATGTGAGAGATGGAAACAGAAGGAAGAAAGGATTTGGGGTTGATATCACTATGAAGCCCTGGCTGGCCTGGTGCTGCTTACTATTTATACTCTAGAATGACTTCAAACTCGGTAATCTTTCTTTTACCTCTCATCTGCTGGAATTGAAGGACCCACTGTCTTATTCTGCTTTAACAGCCTTTTGTTTTAGACAGAGTCTCCCTGCATAGCCTATATCTGTCTCTAGATCCTTCTGCCTCAGTATCCCCAGCACTGGAATTATATTCACCATACCTGGCAGGTGTAGGTGGATCTCTAAGGTCATATAGACTATATAGCAAGTTCAACATGAGTCAGGGTTGACTCGCTCATAGAAAGACTCTCAAATCAGTCATGTCTTTATCACCCATGTACCCATGTACACAAGCACACACCCGACAGGATTGAAGATTGGACCCAGACTCTGATCCTCATATACTAGGCCAGCGCTCTACCACTAAGCTCTATCTTTTCATCCCTCTTTATGTTTTCATTCTGAGACAGGGTTTCATAGAGTTGCCTTGAACTCTTTGTAGTCCAGGAGGCCTTTTAAAATCATTTTTGGGGGGACTAATATTACTGACCACTGGTTGTCTTAACCCGTTTGAGATACATAGCAAGCTCAAGGTCTGCCTACATTATTAACTCTGTCTCAAAACAAAACACAAAATAGTAAATAGCGCCTGCTCTACAAGTTGTACTGTGTAGTATATGAGGGGGTGTGGAAATGCTCTTTCCATAGAAAACATGAGAAAAAGCCTCTCCATTTGATTTTTGTATCAAAATGTTTTTCATTGTTCTCTGTGTGTGTGTGTGTGTGTGTGTGTGTCTCTCTCTGCAGGATAATGAATTAGAAAAGATCACACGGAGATTCACTATGGAGCTGGCAAAGAAGGGTTTTATTGGTATGTATTGCTCTATGTGTTTCTGTATATGGTGGAAACACCTAACAAGTAATGGTCTTGAATTAAGCTCCTGCCTTTATAAAATGTCTGGATGTAGTTGTCCTTTCCCTTCCAGAACCAAGTTTCCTTATAGATCTCATAGACATATCTTGGCTGGTTTTGACACATCTCCAGTAGGCAAGTGCAGGGTCTCACCATGCAGTGTGGGCCAAGGACACCAAGGAGAGATTTCTTCTGCCTTGTTTGTATTCTTTTCTGAAACAAGGAAAAGAAAATGACTACTAATGCTGGATTTATAGCAATATTTTAACAAGTTAAAAAAAAATGTTTTTTTAAATAGCCATTAGTTTTTTCCCAAAGCCATAAAAATCTGTTATCATTTGAAACCAGTGGGGTTTTTTTTAATGCAGTTCCTTTTTAATATGCATTAGGTGTTCACTGGAAACTGACAGTGAGGCTGGTGTAATGTACTCAATAATCCAAGCACCATCGCTGTCTCTGAGGAGTGCTCAAGTTAGTTAGAGGGTCATGTGCGAAGCTTGCTAAATTTCTAGGGGTACTTCCATTTGCTTGATAGTTTTTGTTGACTTGTATTTGTTATGTTCTTTGTGAGATATGAATATTCTTTGATGTATACATGTTATTTACTCTGATTTCTAAGCAGTTTGTCTCATATTTCTTGGTCTAGAAGACTTCTGGTTTATTTAAATAAAATAATCAAGGTTACTCAGTAAAGTGTTAAAAGAAAACTGGCTGAAAAGGGGGTTGGGGCACACAACCATACTCTTAATTCTGTTGTCCTACCCTTGTGTTTTCCCTCCATGTTTCCTCCACCAATGACATGTTTCTATGAAAGTAAGCTATAGTTTGGCCCTTGCCCTGTTTTTAGGAAAAAAGATATGAAATAAATGGATTAATATGTGGAAAGGTAGAATGTTATGAGATTTGGTCTAAAAGCAGAGTTTTTGACATGCCTTATGAATACTGTTTTGACATTTACTTGGGCCTCATTGCACAGGAACATTTTGCCAGCAGAAGTTAATGAGCACCAACTCTTGCCTTTCAACATGGTAAATTGAAATCATGTCTCAGCCTGGCAATGGCCTTCGTGGTCATTTAAATAGCACATTTTCTCTTAGCCTAAAATCTTAATTCTGTTTTAACAATCTTTTGTTTAGGCTTCATTTAGTCATAGCTATTGCATCTAGAGTGTTTACTAGTTTAGTTATGACAGCCCAAAAAGTAAAAAGTGACTCATTGGAACTCCGAAAGACGGCAAACCGTAAATATGAATCATTTGGCCCCTTTGTGTGTAGAGGGCAAACTTTCAGAATTTCTCTGTTTTCTCACTTCCCTTTCTGCAGAGTTCTCCACTGTGACTCAGTCTGAATTCTTACCCTGTTAATTTTGTGGGTTTATGATCAGCTTGTCAAATTCCATGGAATATGAGTAGGGGAAAGCTAAGATTTTGATATGAATTGTGTTGTATCTGTAGACCATTTTGGGGTGGGGATTGCCATATTTACCAAATTAAGTCTTCCAATCTGTGACCATGGATGTCTTTCTATTTGTTGAGCCTCTTGTTTCTTTAAGCATTGCTTCACATTTTCTTAGGACTAGAGACAACTCCCTAGTCTTCTTGACACTATTGTAAGGGATGTTGATTTGTTGAGTTGTTTGGGGGGATAGGGGGGTTTTTGTTTGATTGGTTTGGTTGGTTGGTTTTTTTGTTTTGTTTTGTTTCCTTGGGTTTTTTTTTTATTTTAGAATACTTAGTTTCTGTTATCAAACCCACATGGTAACATATTTAATACAATGTTGTCCCTGTACAAAAGGAAATGATGTTTAACATTTGTAGACCAACATGGCTGTTTATTTCTGTACAGTGTCAGCTTAGTAAACTTGGAGATTGTTTTCTCATTAGGCTAATTCTCCTTGCTTCCCTTGTGACTTATGAAATAGCTTATCAGTCAGGAGTCATGCATGGCTTTGTTTTTTCAGAATGTCTTTCTGATTCACAAACACCTGACCTCAGACTTACCAGTTCATATTGCTATCTGAAGCAAGACATGTTCCTGAGAACTAGAATAATACTCCTTAGATATTTGTAAACAGATTTGATAGCAATTTCTCCTTTGTAGCTTATAAAGAAATGCGGTTAAACAAAGTTGTACTGACCTACAGCCTGAGTGTGTCAACTGCAAGTAAGCACAGCAGACAAGTGGATGAGACAGAACAACTGCCCTTCAGGTGGAAGCGCGTTGTGGAAAACAGGCTTATGGAGGTTAAGCTTCCTTAGATTTAAAGATGCCTGAAATCAAACAAGACTGTGGAATGACAGATTAGGTTGGGGCAAAAAACTTGAACCTTCACTTGAAGGTTTTCTTCTGCCAATCTTGTATTCGTATCACAAATTGTTCAGAAAATTAGTATCTAGGATTGGGTCCCTTGAAAGAGCTTTATTTTATGGAAGGACTTAATAATTTGAGCATTTTTGAAGTTATTTTTTAGTGAAAATAGTGTATAATATAATTCAAACAGCATATGGTAGAAAGTTATAATGCTTAAATCCAAGAATATAGTAAAAAGTTATTGATACCTGTCTTTCTAAACCTGTATACATATGTATGTAGACAAACATGGAGGGGGATAGAGAGGGAAGGAAGAAGAGAATAGAATTTTATGTAAATGAGAGCATACATAGCTATATGAAACCTACCTTTTTCTACATTGTAGGTTTGGTAATCATTTCAAGTCATTTACAAGGTTTAAAAAAAATCAACTTTTTGCCGTGCAGTGGTAGTGCATGCCTTTAATCCCAGCACTCAGGAGGCAGAGGCAGGTGGATCTCAGTGAGTTCAAGACCAGCCTGGTCTACAGAGCGAGTTCTAGGACAGGTTCCAAAGCTACACAAAGAAACCCTGTCTCCAAAAAAAAAAAAAAAAAATCAACTTTTTAATGACTAGTACTTTGTGTAGCTATGCCATATCTTACTAATTTTCATCTTAGATAATTTTTATCTTATGGTTTTGAGAATATTTCTACATAGTCCTCCCTTTGCAGTTGGATTGATCATCATGGATGTGTTGCTCAGAAAGTTCACCGTATCTAGTGGTGTTAGACGCAGCAGTGGTACTGTCAATACTTGTGGGCCAATGTTTGCAATTCTCATACTTAGTTTAGTTTGCTGTGCTGTGGGGAACTAAAAGCTAAGCCCAAAGACTTCCTATACACCGATCGTTGGCCACTAAATCAAACAAGAGTATTTCCTGAGTAAAAACGTCACCTTGTAAACACTTGGTTCAGCCATGTCCCCCTTCTTTCTCTATCTAGTGAGAAGGCCTAAGCCATAGGGAGCTAAACTGTTTCATACACATCTGCTCAGTAGCTAAAATGGTCCTGTCATGGTGGTCAGGATGATACAGTTAAGTAACTGAGGCTGAGAGACCACAGTTGCCAAGGTCCTATGCTGAAGTCCCAAGCGTGGCATATCTTTTATCTGTAGGTAACTTCCAGATACAACCCAGTAAACTTCAGTGGAAAAACGTAGCTATATGGCATTATATATACAAGTTTCATAAAGAAGAAGCATTTAATTAGTATTTTTGTGACTTCTAAAGTTTTCTAGCCACGGTGACGTTGTTCTCTTAGAGAATTGCAAGCATCTTTATGTCTGAGATAAGCTTATCTTAAAAACTGGCACACTACCCTTTCCCTGTGCTCCCAGGTCCTGGCATTGATGTGCCTGCCCCAGACATGAGCACGGGTGAGCGGGAGATGTCCTGGATCGCTGACACCTATGCCAGCACCATAGGGCACTATGTGAGTATCCACCGAAACCCAAGGCTTCCTGCGTTGCTATCCACAAGAAGTAACAATCTATCTGATTTAATGAGAAATTGGTAATTGCTGGATTCATCTCCCTTTTAACTGGAAACTCGGCATGCATATTACTTTGCCCTCTGTCTATTCTAAAACTGTAAGCATAGTGAGCGTGAACTGGGCTTTTGCTTTCATGCTGGGCACTAAGGCCAAACCTTCCCAACTAGGGTAGCTCACTTGCTGAGGCACTAGATGGGATGTTCAATTCTGCCTTCCCATCAAAGTGCATTCACTTAAAGAGGAGCTAAGGCACGTGAGCTAAGGTATGGAGATAGTGTGATATAAAGGTTTGGGGTTCTGAAGAAGGCCTTTTTGAAAGGATATTTGAACTGGACCTTAAAAATATGGTTGAATTTCAACATCTGGAGATTTGGGGACTAAGAGGAAAAGAAACAGCAGAGATTGAAGGTAAGGCATACACGTGTAAAGGTGGTGGAAGAGGTAAGTGAACCACACATGTCAAGTCCTGGTGTGGGTTTTACTTGATGGTGAAGAGCCTTGGCTGTGGCTCATCCTTCAGGAAGAGTAGCTGTCTGTGTGACAGCAGCCCCGTCTCACGAACCCAGGGCTGGAGAGAACAACTTGTCCCTGAAGGCTATGAAACCTTGGGAAACGAAGCTTCCATAAACTGAGAAGTGAATATTTATTTTTGAGAGAGAAAGAGAACACAAGAGCATGAAATTGGGTGGGTGGCTAAGGAAAAGGGGATTTTTAAAAATCATTTGTTTACACTAAGTAGAAGTCAGGTGTGTGCTACAGCTGGCGTGTGCGGAAGCTGTTTGAGAGCCGTGGAAAGGGGGCGGGGCTAATCAGAGCCTTTGGAAACAGGGTCCGTGCAGACCTCTTGGAGTGGTAGGGCTCATGGGGGCGAGGGACAAGGCAGAAAGAAGTATTTAAAGGACAGGGGACAGGTGTTGTAGCCAGTCAGTAGGTGAGGAGAGCTGCCAAGTTACTGCCTAACTGCCTATTAAGAACTTCAATCTTTGTCCTGAAAAAGAAGCTATGGCAAACTCATAATCAGTGTTTCACTCTGTGTATAGCAGGAGATGGAACTGTTGAGGGCTGGATAGAGGATCCCAGACCACAGCGGTTTTATGAAAAAGGGAAATGGGACATCAAACGTCCAGCTAAGAAAGTGGCATTAAGGAGAAGCAAAGGGACGGCAGTCTAAAAAGTCACCACTGACTGGAAAGAGTTTTGTTGTCTGGCTGTTAATTGAATATGAGTCATTGATGTGAGAGGCAGATCGTGTAAGAGAAATACACTCCTTTGTGAGAGTGAAATACTGGGGCAGTCAGGGTTGTCTGTCCAGGGCCCTAATGGGAATGGGTCTTTGGAGAAGAGGCATGTTTTCTAAGCGGTGTTGCACAGTG